ACAGAGCAAAACACTTTAACAGCAATAAAATCTTTATATATGGTAGTTAACCCAAAGTAACATTCTTTTAAGTTGAATGGCATAGAATTCTTCAATATTACAAAAAGGTAGATTAAAAAAACAATTATTTAAAAGAGTTTTGAGATCAAAGGTCTTTTGTTGTTTTAAAGTATAATGTTTTGTGGTGGTTGTTTTACTGTAGTATGGTGTATCTCACTCTGGTGGGAAATGTAGTAAAACAAAAATATTGAAAACAATCTTTAAGGCAGTACCGGGACGATGTTTCTGATATGATTGCAATATTTTCCATAGTAGCTTATATAATTGTGTCTTTTCTTTTCATCCATTATCTCATCTGCATTTTTAAGTCACAGTAATAAGGAGAGTAGTCAGCTAAAGCATTTGACTTAGTTGACAATCTTTGATAGTTCATGCATCTCCAAAATTTATTACTGCCAACATTATGTATTTAAACAAATGCAGCCTGTTATCAAAGAAAGAAAATGACCATATTGAAGGAAAAAAATAAACTGCAGCCTTCTTCATGAGTAACACTAAAAACTGTTAAACACATTAAAATCCCATTTAACAAATAGCAGAGCCTAATGAATATTGCTCAGTGAATACTAATGTGAAATATTACTGGGAAAGATGTTTGAGTGTTGAAATTCCTCATAGCTCAAAATGGTTATACATATTAAGGAGAGGAACATCTGTTCTTCAAAAGAGATGAAATCTGGCTGTTCATTGAAAATATTTTTGTTTTCTATCTTTATTTTTTTCAATTGTTCCATAAAATAGTCAATTTCTCATTCTTTTATTTTGGAAGCTCCAATACTCTTTCTTTAAGTTTTGCATATCAATTTTATATTGGAAATCCTATCTACATATAGTTGACCAATCTGCTGTTTAGTAAATTGTGACTATCTGATGTATGATAATCAACGAATATATCGACCATGAAATCATCTAATTCTGAAATTAAAATGATCAGAATTATAGGTTTATCATGTGACAGTCCATTAATTCTAGGCGGTTAGATGTCACAGTACATTCAGGTAAGTTCTGGTCTCTGGCCTCAAGTTCTAACTCTAACATTTTCACATTTATTTTCTGTGTCAAATCAAACAAGTAATTTTGTCTTTTACTTATCTGATTTTAATCATCTGAAATGTGGATGGTAGACTTTATTGTATCATTGTCATGAAGTATGTTAGTCATTGTTTGTATTCTAACTACATTCCATTCATCTTTCATCCATTTATGTATATATTTAGTTAGTTACTCTGGCATCTATCAATCCATCCATCCATTTGTTCACTCATTCGACTAAATCATACTGAGCATATATTGAAATAGTCATTCTGTGTATATAGATGTCATGGCAGGGTTTCTGTTCTCAAGAAGTAGCTCATAAGCTCGTTTTAACATAAATAAGTACTATCTTTAGTTTAGTAACTCTTCTAAACCCTGCTGTGTTAAGAAGACTTGCCAGATCCAGAAATTCTACTCTTAGACATATAGCTAAAAGAATTGAAAACAGGTATTAAAAAAATACATGTTCATGAATATTCATAGCAGCATTATTTATGGTAGCCAAAAGGTGGAAAAAGCCAAATCCATCAGATGTGTGGGTAAACAAAATGTGGTATTTACATTCAATGGAATATTACTCAGTTATAAAAATGAATG